ATGTGTACTGTTATTTCCTTGTAACTATATACTTCTACTAGACTGATCCTATCTAGTATGATCATGTTGCCTTGCACTAGCTATAAAAAGTGGCTTAATTCTACTGTATCCGTATGTGGGTACAGTAGACTTACAGGGTATATATATGTGGATTATTTACAGATGAAATAATAAGGGATTAAAAGTAATACAAATGTTCATGTCAGAAGTTCGTAGAAACATTTTTATGCAAATGTTTGGGTTTTCTTTTTTTAAGTCTCTAAAAAAGTTAGTGGATGGAATGAAATAGATCAAAATGGATATTTTTATTTTTATGCATTACAGGCAGCCAATCCTTTTTTCAAATTGCTGACAATGCTAATGGAATTTGCTGGTGGACCTCCCGGAATGCCACCCTTTGCTTCTTACATTCTGCAGAGGATATGGGAGGTACAACATGTAAAAAGAAAACAGAAGCTAAATTGTCTTTCTCTTGTTCATTCTTTTATGTCTATGAAAGGGTTTGACATTTAATTGTCATCCTTGCTGCATCAATTCATGATTTTTTTTTTTTTAATGACTGTTTCTCTTCCAAATAAACAGCAACAGCTAATAGACATTTAAAAGTTCTGCTCTAACTTCTAATGTTATTTTAACAGCATTCTGGTTAACTGGTATTTCAGTTCAACTTTACATTGTAGTTTAATGAGAAATTAATTGATTCATAATAAGGGTCTAGAATGCTGCTTCTAGGCAAATTCCACTTATCTTTCTCAGTTATCCTTTTGCAAGGACTGTAAAATGTTTCAAGGCCCATTGTTTGTTAGGGTTTTTTTGTTCTTTATGTACTGGTTCTTTGAATATTTGTTTGACTTTTTTTTGTTGTTGTTGTTCTCTGTAAAATACTCATTAACATTTTTAACCCATAAAATAGTGCTAAATTGAGTCTAGTGGATAATTGCTGTGGTGCAGGACCATTTTTGCTTGCATTTCTAAACCAAGAAAGAGACTTTTTAACCAGGTTGGCACAGGGATAAATTCCTTCATCTGAGCAATAGATCAGAAATTAAAGCTTTCACTTCAACTAACTGCTCTTTGAGTTCCCAGTACAATTTACTGTCTTTATGACTGACAACAGCGTGTCCAGCCTGAAGGCTGCTGAGGACAAGCTGTTGAACATTTGTTCCCTTTAATATTCTTTAAAAAGCGGGGCTGGGGTTTGTAAAAGATTATTACTGTGCAGAATTGAGACCTCTGGGAAAACACAAACCTGTCTTACCCACTGAAGCACTGTGGAATGGAATATGGATTGCTGTTCAAAAGTATTTTACTCCTGGTTAGGAGCAGTTATAGGAACCGCTAGGTAACCTGGTAAAGCGTATACCAAGCGTTTGTTAGGCGTCTGATCTGAACATGAATTAGCTGTAACTGCTGTACTTCAGGTAAAGAGAGTTCAAACACAGGATCTCAAGGTCAAGAATTACATCTAGCGGCCTTCTGTGTACGGGGAAGCGGTAGGTTACGAATTTCTCTCGGCAATAAGGAAACCTTTACAAGAGAGCTTTTGATAATGCACAAGTTGTGGCATGAAGTACATGTGCTTCATGCTTTGGTCAGAAGCCACGAAGTTTATGTATGTGATTTGTTAAGCAATCCTCTTTTTTATTTCCCTCCTTATTCTCAGTACACAAACGGAACCTACAGAGGAAGCAAGTCAATGACAGGTTTCTGTTGGAAAGGCAAACTTTTGGCAGTAGAAGTCATCGGTTCAGTCTGTGGTGATGCCAGTGTTGTTATCCTTACCTTGTTGACACAGGTCTAGAGATAGAAATTGTGTAGGCAGGGGTGAGAGGCCCAGTGGTTAATGCACAGACAGACAGTTTTAGGGTGTAGAACCTACTTCTGCAGCCACTCCAGTTTCTAGAAGTCGTTAAAAAGTGATTGAGCAATGAAGACAGTGAACAATGGTAGTCTTTTTCTTGGAGATACCCTCCAGCCTATTACAAAGGAAACTTGACAGATCAATTTGTCTTTTCTAAAAAAAGGGAGGAGATTGTTCTTAATGTGTTTATTTTTAAACGGAGATTAAAATTTCATAAGCAGAGTTTGGTCATGTCAGCTGCTCGTAGTCTTCAGGTGGATTAGAGCTTCAGCAATTCACTTACTGCCTGTGGTTCCTTAGATAGATAGAGTTCCTTTTTCTTTGTCTGGGCACCTGGACCGCAAGGTAAAAAAGAAAACAGTTTTTAAAAACTAGCAAATTAGTGACCTACATTTATTGGCCTAGTAGTATGTCAACAAATTTTTAACTACACAAAACCAGAAAGGCAGAGGAAGCTACGTTTTCTCCCTGTTATCTGTAAGGCTTTGATAACTGTCCAACAGCACTCCACAGGCTTTTCATTACCTTTGAAAAGCACTAGATGAATTTATCCCTTGAAATTGCATATTCATAAAAAACATAATAGCTACCCTCAGCATGAAGCTATATGGTCATATTCGCATACCGTTTATGTTCTTTTGATATAACTTGTATAAAAATGCTGATTCAGTGTTTTGTGTTAGCTGTTTTAAAAAAAAAAAAAAAGATTTATTTGTTTATAAAGACAAGATTGTTCAGTTTTCTAAGTCCTTAACATTTCAACTCTAAAGTGTCTCTACGCAGAAAGGATATGTAAAGTAACTTCCTGGACTCAGACTGAACTTTTAAAAGCTCTGAACAAGATTTAGAAGCACAAACCAGTGAAATTTTGATAAGGGTATTCTTTGTCTGCCAGAGCATCTCAGAATTGTAGGTGCTTTGATAGTCCTATGTGATTTTGAAAAAATATCTTGAAAGTCTTAATAATTATTTTTAGGGTTTTTTAATGCAATCAGTACCTAGTATCAAGGTTAATGTAATCTTTTTTGATTTTTCCACTCTTCTTCCAGGTCATTGAATACAACCCATCTCAGTGCCTGGATTGGCTGGCTGTGCAAACACCTCGAAACAAACTAGCTCACAGCTGGGTGCTGCAAAATATGGAAAACTGGGTTGAACGTTTTCTTCTGGCACACAACTATCCTAGAGTGAGAACTTGTAAGTTAATTTAAATTGAAGAAAATTATTCTGGTTGTAGCAAGCTACTATGTATGCGGTATTCCTGTCACAAGTGAAATGCATGCTTTTGTACTTGCCTTTTCTTCCTTTTCCAGTTGTTTTAGCATTGCTGTATTTTAAAGTATTAATACAACTGTGGTGCCTCTTCAAGATGTGCTGCCTGGTTTTGATGAAAACCATGCTTTGATTTTGTAACTTGAATGATAACATTAGTCGGTTCTTTATCTTATGTGGTTAATCTACAAGATCCAGGAAAACCCAAAGAAGAAAAAGAGATAATCCAAGAGGTTTTCAATAGTTTCCATCACATAGTTGTACTGTAGGTAGGAGTAGTACATGTTCTTCTTTCACCCATCACAGAGGAATCTTTAGTGGAGTCCTTTGAACTTGTGGATCAAGGAGAAGAAGCCTGTGCTTCTCCCCAACTCCAGGCTGTGCTGGCTCTCCAGTTTGTTCTGCCAAGAATCACGCTACCAGGCCATAGCAGAGATCACGCTTTCAGCCTTTCCTGTGTCTAAATTTGTATATAAAGGAGATTCCACACTAACAGGCCACACTGAACTTTAATACATTTTCTGTGGTTGAGGGAGATGTGGAAACTGGAGGTACACCTTTGCAACAGACTCCAGTTGTAAACATCTCTAAAGAGGTAATGATGTCTTGATCAAGCAGTATGCAGTGTAGTCATAGAAAACATCTGGGTTTGTATTTCTGTGACGGGGTGCATTGTGTTACGATAGTTAGAACCAAGCAGCAGACAGGAATATAGGGGGAAGAGGCCTTGAAAGCAAATCTCAACACTGCTTTTAACATGCTAGTCTTTCCCACTGATTTTTTTTTTTTTTTTTTTTTTTAATCTCCAGTGTGAATGTAGTAATACCAGATTCTGTAAAATGCTTTGAAATCTGTAAACAGAACACACAATGTAATTGACCTTCGGATTAAATGACTGTTAAGTATGTGTGTCATTTTTCAAAGGTGTAACAGATTTGTTTTTATTTGAAGCCGCAGCCTATCTCTTGGTGTCGCTTATTCCAAGCAATTCCTTCCGTCAGATGTTCCGATCAACTCGCTCTTTGCACATCCCTACGCGCGATCTGCCTCTCAGTCCCGATACTACAGTAGTTCTTCATCAAGTCTACAATGTGCTTCTTGGCCTTCTTTCAAGAGCTAAGCTATATGTTGATGCTGCTGTTCATGGCACTACAAAACTTGTGCCCTACTTCAGTTTCATGACATACTGTTTGATCTCAAAAACTGAGAAACTCATGTTTTCTACTTACTTCATGGACTTATGGAACCTTTTCCAGCCTAAACTTTCTGAGCCGGCTATAGCCACCAACCACAATAAACAGGCTTTGCTGTCTTTTTGGTATAATGTGTGTGTCGACTGTCCGGAGAACGTACGCCTTATTGTACAGAATCCCGTGGTGACGAAGAACATTGCCTTCAATTACATCCTCGCGGACCATGACGATCAGGATGTGGTGCTCTTTAACCGCGGGATGCTGCCTGCCTACTACGGCATCCTGCGCCTCTGCTGTGAGCAGTCCCCTGCGTTCACGAGGCAGCTGGCTTCTCACCAGAATATCCAGTGGGCCTTTAAGAATCTCACGCCACATGCCAGTCAGTACCCAGGAGTAAGTAGATCGATACCAAAAAATACCGTTTCCTTGTCAGTATTTCCTCTCTTACTGGATGTCTCTCTTAATGAAAGAGATGAAAAGACTTATTTCATGTATCCAGTGGTGAAAGTATTATATTTTGGTTTCCTGGTGTAAGTAATTAATAATGCATTTAGATCCGATTACTGTGCTTGGGGGGGGGATTGTTTTGGTGTTTTGGATTTTCTTTCTTGCTGTGTAGCAGTTGGAGAGCAGATGTTTTTTTTCTGGAAGCAGACACTGGTGTTTCCATTGTTCTTCAATATTCTGTATGCCAGTCTAGTCTAAAGAAACTGGGAATAGTCTTTAATGGTGGTCTCAAGAAAACATGTTGCATTCTAACATGCTAAGTTGGAGGAATTCCCAGGGAGTTTCTTCTTTGCTTTCAGTTTCTGGAATAGGCCAAGATTTAGCCTGTTGCATTCAAACGGAGGATGGCCTGGTGTTCACCTTGGGAGCGCTTGTGTACCTTTTCCAAAATATTGGTACAGTGGGAAGTTGCGCTGTCTCTACAACATTGTGAGACTTGTAGTAGAGAGTAGATACTGGTTAAAAGAGTCCACATGTAATGATGAAAAAACAGGCTTACAAAGTTTTTAAAAGCCAAAATAGGCATTTTTGTATGATTACTCATTGACTATTGCTTTGGGGTCCTTCACAGGTGTACAAGGACAGAAAGAATACAAAGATTTTCCTCGCTATGTAGAGGAGGAGGATGCATGGAATCTTCTATGAGCTCTAGCTGAGCTCATAGAGTAACTTTATGCTCTGACAGTCCTGGGAGTAGCCCTGCTGCTTTCATTGTTTTCATCTCCCCTCGGAAGTCTCAGTTTGTCTTGCTAGGGCAGGGACTTCAGTTACTCCACTGTCTTTAGTGTTTCCCATGCACATGGGACTTAGTGAGTTTTAGCACAAGGAGCTGTCTGAATTCTGTTACTTAGAATGTAAACATTATCATCAGAGAATGCGCATGCCCATGCTGCAGAAGATGACCCTACGTTCCTCAAGGAAAGCCAGGAAGTTCGGTGACATGGCTCAGGATTTCCACATTCTCCTCCCTCTCTCTGTCTCTCTCTGAGCTGTGCTGTTAAGAGACATTAAAACATCTATTTAAGGCTCATAAGGGTTATCTCAAATATCCGAGTCCTAACCCACGCAGTAAATAGTAAAGGCTAAAAGCAAACTGCATTGAAGATAGATAAGAAATAGCCACAACTTCTATATCAAAATTTGAGTTTTTAAGAACCACTTAGTTTTAATTATTTAAGGTTAAAATGTTGCCTGCTGATTTTTATAACTTTGTTATAATGCTTAGAACTGTACTCCCATCTAAATTTGCTTACACATACTTGTTCTGTATATTACTTAGTAGAAGTAACAGGATAAGTAATACGAATAGGAAGATACAAACGATAACGTACTGAGAGAGATTACTCTAACCAAATATTTTTGTGTGTTTTAGGCAGTAGAAGAGCTGTTTAACCTCATGCAACTGTTTGTAGCTCAGAGACCAGACATGAGAGAGGAAGAGATAGAAGATATAAAGCAATTTAAGAAGACAACCATAAGCTGTTACCTGCGCTGCTTGGACGGACGGTCTTGTTGGACTACTTTAATAAGGTACGGTAGTAGTGAAGTTGTAGTGTAATAATCTAATCCTGTTTGAATAAGAGCTGTATTTCACCAAATGTGAAGTACAAAAAAAATCAGTGGTGTTATTTTGATATTCTTTTTGATAAAGTTTTGGGGCTACTTTTATTCAGAAGTAAGCAAACAAAGTTACAATTTATAACTTTTTTTTTTCAAAATCCATTGTTTGTGAATGTGATTTATTCTAGAATGTTTCATCTTCTAAAAATTCAGAAACTAAGCAAATATTTTACAATAAACAGGTGTAAACCATGATCGGTATTGTCAGGGTTCAAAAAGAAACACCATGACAAAATTGAATTAGTAGAGCCCTTGGGAAAAAAAAAAAACCTAAAACCAAATCAATCAATGTTCTAATTCAGCATTTAAGCTGAAGTTCCATTCTCAGCCTAGCGTGATTAGTCTAGATTGGCAAAGCAGCAATTTCAGCTGCTGTTGGTGACATCTGCTATTCTTGGGCAGAAATGTTTTTTAGAAATACTGCCTGTGGGACAGAGTTTTATTGTATCGCACCATCAAATAGTTTTTCATTTCTGGTCTATCTTAGTAGTACAGCTGAAACTGTTGCTTGGGTATTTTCAGTATAACTATAAATTGCGGGTGTATGTAGGTCAGGCACTGGGGTTTTACATGCAACTGTTGACGCATCGAAACACTCTGGTGCAAAGGGAAAACGGCCTGTCTTACCTGAAGGGATTACATACCGTCACCTGTCGCACAGCCCAACCAGCTTTTCCCAAACGCTCTGGAAGAATTGTTTTGTTGAGAGGAACCGTGCACGAGCATAATCCTTTATTTTCTGTTCTGCTGTAAGCATAAAATATTCTGATAGAAATGTTTTTACACATTTCAAAGTCCAAACACATGCTTAACTGAACCTATTTAAATGTATCATTTTGACAAGCATAAACTTCTGTCTTTGAAGTACCTTATTTTCCTCAGTTTTTAGCATTGTTGCAGACATTATTTGGGAAATATTTCTGTAAAGGTTGTTTATAAATTACTTTTGATAACATAAAGTTGACATAAAGGAAGTTAGCATCAGAGGCATTTTTAAATGAGAAAATGGGGAAAAAAGGAAGAGAAATAATTATGTTCTTTTGGGGTTTCTTTGTTCTTCTGTGATTGTTTTCCAAAATACAGCACGAGCATAACAATTTTAAGCATTTGTATGAATTATGAAAAGATTATACGTATTTTTCAGTGTTCTCAATGTTTGGATTTTCTTCCTAGTGCCTTCAGAATATTATTAGAATCTGATGAAGACAGACTTCTTGTTGTGTTTAATAGAGGATTGATTCTGATGACCGAGGTAAATACTTTGTTATTTAATTATCGTAAACACCTCGCTTTCTTCATTGCTTCCTTCCTGACAATGTGTTTGCTTTAAATTTTTTCAATATGGTATAATTTAAAATAAAGGTAAGAAATATGTTGATTAAGTACTGGCACAAATGTAAAATCTTAAGGATCATAGGAAGGACAAAAAATTATTTACCAGACATTTTGCATGTTGAAACGCTAATGTAGGAGGCTAAGTGAGTAAATTTTGAGGCAATACAAATCTTAATCCAGGATAAAGATAACAGATTAGCTGATGACAGTGATTTGGTAGGATAACTATAAAAGAATGCAGCTTAAATAGGAAAGATGATCAAGAAATAAAAGGGCGATGTGTCGCCTCGTACATCAAGGGTAGATACGCTCGCTCTGAGGTTCATAATGGCGAGTAAATTAGGTCTGCTGAAACAGTTGGAACTTAGCAAGACATGTCGTGAGTAGTAAGAAGTCAGTGTTGGCTTTCTTCACATAGATACTTCCCCTGCCACCTTGAAGAAGATTTCTTTAGTAGTAAAAAGATGAGGAAAATGTTTGCCTGGTTCTAAGACAGAGGGTAAGCCACCAACAGGTTATGTTGAGAGGAGTGAGTTTATGCTTTTTTGGTGTCATTCTCTTTATCACATCAACTGTGAGTAAATGGCTGAGCACAGTCACACAATTATTACTAGTTTAGAAGTGTTGAGGCAACAGGTTAAAATGCAGAAATAAAGGACACTTAGATGCAGTTGCAGTTAATATTTCTGAGTGCTTCTTGGGCACTTCCGAGGCAATTCTCCCTATCTTTTCTACTCATTGTGCTTTTCTTTCCAAGAAGGAGTGGTCTAAGAACACATAAACTAGATTTCTTTCTGATGAAAGTAAACCTAAAGATGCATTTCCAGAGCACATATAGTGTATTCCCGTTGTAAGTGGATATTTGATCCATGAGACTGGACCAGAATTAATTCAAAATGGAAAGGAAAAAGAAGAATAAATAACGCAGCCCTGAAATGGGTACAGTTTGGATGTCAAGCCCCTGCCCACCAACAGTTTCACTCTACAGACCCACTCATACTGTCCTGCAGTAATGTAGGAGAAGCCTAAAAGACATTGCTGAAAAAGCTCCGAACTGTTAGTGGCTACTTTAACATGAGTGAGATACCAGAAGACTGAAAAAGGGCACATACAGTGTTTATCTCTTCTTTTTTTCCTTTTGTCCTTCTTAAGATTGGTGTAAGGTCTTGGATTCTATTCAACACTTCCATTATTGAGTTGATGGATGAGAACGTGTGTTTATTAAATATGCTGGCAATGCAAGATGGGGAAGGATGCTAGATCCTTTTGAGAACAAGAATAAAAATCAAGATTGTCTGGATTATTGTTGGAGAAAGGGTAAAAATAAGACGCATGCATTCTTGGCATATGTAGAATGGTGTATTCAGGGAGGGATAATAAACTGGTAAAAATCCGTGTTGCAAGACAGGTGGATAGGAGGTAGTTGTAGCTGTGCAGTAAATGGGATAGTGGAATAGACTGCTTCAGAAGGGTCAGCCAGCACAACTGGAAGTCGTCAGGAGGGCTTTGAGCAAGCCTCTGTCAAGGATGTAAAGACATTTAGTCTGCCTTAAGGCATGTGGATGGCGTAGATGATGCTTTGAGGTTGATTCCAACCCCATTTTTATATGGTGTATATAAAAAATTCTCCTTTTTTTATGTCATTAGTTTGTATTTTCTGGGACAAAGTGTGATAGAAAAAGCTGAAATTACAAAATCAGTTAGAAAAATAAAAACTAAGATACGGCAGTACTGTTTGAAAGTTGAGTTTTCATGAGCTTGTTACAAATGTAAGCCTTTTGATGAACTACAGTTAGCTTACAGTCACTAAACTTGGGCTAAGAAGTTAGGAACTGAGCTGTAGCTTTATTCGTACATGAAACTCATAAGTAGATGAGGATATATACATAGATATGTATAAAGAGAACTTGGTTTAACAGCTCTAGTTAACCCTGATCCACGCTAACAACGGCTACTTAAGTTTATAAAGAATGTGTAATATAAAATGCAATTTATCCTGTGTAAAACATTGCTAGAAATTAGCCAAAACTAACGTTCAGCTTTTAGCTGAGTTGCTTTACAGCTTGAAATTACCAGGCCTTATATTTTCACTTGTTCACTGGAAGTGTTTTGCGTGGTGAAAAACGTTGCATCAAGGAGCTGTCACGTTCAGGAAAGTTTTCCACTTAGCAGGGTTGGCCATGTATCTTTTATCTTCACTGTAGTATAAAAATGACACATCAAGATTTTGCATTATAGGGAATGAGATTACTGCTTCTTTATCTTTAAAATATCCCAGCAGATTAAATATATTTTCTTACATCTTGTGCTAGAATTTTTGCAGTTCAGAAATGAGTTGCTTTTCCTTCCCAATACTTCTATAAATCACAGATGCCCAGAAGGTGTTTTAGTTCTAAAAGGAGAAGTCATTCATCTGACATACAATCATATAGCATATGTCCGGAAGCAGCATTTTGAAAAATGACTAGCATCGACATTAATCTTGCGGTTTTTCCCCAAATTCACATACCCGTGTCTGTCTGTGCATCTCTAATACCACTTCGTACGTTGGCACAGAAATACTGGGATTACAGATACATAAAAATACCGTGTCTCAAATTACGCTTTGCTTGTTGGGTTTTAGGTAAATGTTATGCGTGAAAACTTTGTAATTACATTAAGCCACTGACAGAAAGCTTTTACCTTGAAAACAAATTCAGGCTGTTTGTAATGTCCCCCTCTATAAGCGGTATAGGATGTGCTCACGAAAATGCTCATTTCTTGAGATGGGTGGTAGCTCCTTATAGAGGGGTTATTGTTATAATAAATTGTACAAATTCAGTTTCCCTCGGACATGCATGTGAGAAAAATTAAATACGATTCTAGTTTTTGGGTTAGGTGAGAAGAACAAAAATCAGCCTTTTGGCCAAAGGCAAGTTTCATTTTAACCCCCCCATACCAGACTAGCTGTTGTTCATTGTTACCAGAACTAGATGGCCAGGTCAACAGTTATATTTGGTTGTTACGGAAGATACCGGGTTGTTCATTTGTTCGCTCCCTTTCCTTCTCTCTTTCTGCCCCTTTTCCCCCACCCTCCCCTCTTTATTTTCTTTTTTTTTATTTTTTAGTAAATATATTAATTTTGTGTACAGATTTATTCTCTTTTTAAATGTTGTTGTCTTTGAGTAATTTTGCGATGACATCTAGCACAGTATGTTTTAATACATCTTGTTTGAGCGTAAAAAAACATGTAAGAAGTGGTATCTGTAGGATAGAAATGGAAACGATAACAAGTGCGTTAATTTGGCAACATAAAGTTTTGGCATTTTTTTTCTTTACAGTCCTTTAACACGTTGCACATGATGTACCACGAGGCCACAGCTTGCCATGTGACTGGAGACCTGGTAGAACTGCTGTCTATTTTCCTTTCGGTTCTTAAGTCAACACGTCCATATCTGCAAAGAAAAGGTTCGATTATAACTCTTCAAAGGATGGCACCTGTTAATTACTTTTCATGACCCAAACCCTAGTATTTTATCTCGCTTATTATCTGTGTTTAAAAATATCCCATACAGCAGGAGATATGAGTATTAACAGTTATTAAAGTGTTACTTATTATTTATTGACGTCATACGAAACTAGATTAAGTACGTTTAATAGCAATGGACTGGTGAGACTTAGCAGCTTTCTAGATGGATTAAAATCATGCTAGAGGAAAAAGAGATTCTTCAGCAGTAAAATTCTGTGCTTTCTTTAATGAGCTTTTGAGCAATTAACTGAACAGATTTCTATGGTTTTTGCATTTGCAGATGTGAAGCAAGCTCTCATTCAGTGGCAGGAGCGAATTGAATTTGCCCATAAGCTCTTAACTCTGCTAAACTCCTACAGTCCCCCAGAACTCAGAAACGCTTGTATTGGTAAGTCGTAACAGCGTAACTGCAGTCAGGAAGGACCTGTTCTACGCAGTTACTGCTTTGAGATTTAAATTCCATTTCTGCAAGTGCAAATGCTTGCTAGATGCTCTGTAGATTGGGATTGTTTATAGTCCTCTTGTCAATACATCGGTATTGCCATTGTTCCTATTCTAAGTATTTCTGGTTTCGTCAGGTTAAAATTAATATTCCTACTCCCCTCGGCATGCAGACTGTGTGCACAAAAAGTCGGCCTTCGTTTCGAGAGATCAGTCTGCTACCTGATAAGGGGCATGATTAAGGAATAACTCCTGAATTCACGTGTCAGTGAGTTTAGAATCAAATCCCAAATCCTACATTAAAATTCAAATATTAACTAACGCTCCACTTGGAAGGATGCAAGGTGACCAATTTAGTCTGAGTAACAGCTTTTAGTGTTCGTTTTTATGCTCCCTTACTGGGAGGTATAATAATAAAAGTAAAGCTTAAACAGCTTGTAGAACTGAATGGATTTGCTTTTTAAAATCATAGGCATAGACATTATATGAAAGTGTCTCTCCTGCATTAGAAGACCTATTTCAGAAAGTTTTTCTAGTTTAGGGGTTTTTTAATATTATTTAACAGATATAATCTGCATTTTTATGCATGTTGATGAAGGCCTAAAACTCTGTCCAAATTACCTTTTTTTGTGTGTGATTTGTCTGCGTTTTCCCCTTATTTTGAGCGCCTTTCTCATTGTCCTCCTGACTGCTGCTGGTTGACATTTTCCAGGCATCAAACCTGATATGTTTAAGAAGCAGGAAAGAGGGTAATTCTATTGAGCTTCTACTTTCTACAAGCTGGCACCCCTCTCACTGGTGGTTGATGGACCACTGAGCAGGTTTTCTCCCAGTGGTGGAGGTGAAGGGAATCTTGACTGGTTCGGGGGTGTTCTCTTTACGTGCTATTCGCAGTAGAGCCTACCTCCACGGCACGCACAAGGCGCAGCAAAAGCGCTGTGACAGAGAGTTTGAAAATGCATGAGCCTGAAGTTGAACTGTTTGCTGTTAAGAAATAACAATATGTAATAGCAAAACCAACTTTTTGTTTGTAGATGTCCTCAAGGAGCTTGTACTTTTAAGTCCTCATGATTTCCTACATACTCTGGTTCCATTTCTACAGCACAATCATTGTACATACCACCACAGTAATATCCCAAGTAGGTATTTCAGCGATTGTATTTTGAAGTTCTCTTACGCTATTATTACTCTACCGCGTTCCTTGCTGATGTCAAATACTGACCTTTTAAATGTCTCCCTATTTTATCCTAACTTGTACTGCAGTGTCTCTTGGACCTTATTTTCCATGTCGTGAAAATTTGAAATTAATAGGGGGGAAAAGCAATATTCGTCCTCCACGGCCTGAACTTAATATGTGCCTCTTGCCTACAATGGTGGAAGCCAGCAAGGTATGTAAATGTACGGTCTTATAAATAGCTATTTCTCTATCATTTTCCCTTTGTATAAAAGTATTACGAGGCTCCAGTAGCGTAATGCATCTACGTTTTCTTTGTAAACAAAGCATAATTCTTCTTCAAGATGTGTTGTCCTCATATACTCCATTCTAGATGTGCACTCCAGAAGCACCATTTCCCTGCCCTTGGTGACACACAGCTTCATATTCCAGGCACAATGAGAGTTTGAACCGTGTATTCCAAAAAAAAAAACCCACAGCACGCATTTTGATAATCTTCCAATCTGTTTGTGGCATTTATAAAGAAAATTCAGGAACCGCGCAGGGATTGTCCAGACGGGTTTCAAAGTATGTTACGATTTATTAGCAGGCAGCCGAGTAGATCCTCCAGGTTTCATTAGAGTCCATTCCACCGGGACTGAGGCATAATCTACTACTTGTTTGGGTAAAATACCAGTACCTGAAATACCACGTAGGGCTTGAAGTCTTTTACTTTCCATTTTCCCTTCTGTGGGCTTCCTGATGGGATGCCAGCTTCGGTGGGGCTACTTCGTAGTCGCTTGCCACGTCCCGTTATTGCAGTCGCAGCAACGGTGGGATTCAGCTCACGTAACTTTGCCTATCTAAAAGCTCGGGGTCCAGCTCTGTCTCTGGTTAACGGCGATAAACAGTTGCCCTCCTTCCTGTCCCAGACGCCTGAGTCCGGCTGAGGTGACTCTTCCTCTGGAGGAGTCTGTCTGTCTGTCTCCCTCCCTCCCTCTCTCTCCATTGACTGCAGGGCGTACTGAAATGACTAGATTTTAGATAGCTAAAGTCAGGTAAGGTGAATCCCACCCTAAAAGGAATATGTATGGACAATCATTTGAAGAAGGAAAACTGGTTACTCGCTGTACAGTAACTGTGGTTCTTCAAGATGCTTTGTCCACACAGATTCTGTGCTCCTCCTCCTGTGCTAACTCCGAGTCCTGTCATAGGGGATTCTTATCGGTGAAGGAATTGAGTGGTGGTTGAAGCCGCCATACCCCTTATGCCCTCAGGTACAGTGGTCGCAAGGACACACTGGGTGCAGGCACAGCCCCAGTGGACACTGCTATTCAGAAAGAATCCAATCTCCTGCACATGGGGCCTATGTGCACGTAGATGGGAATCTGTGTGGGCAACACATTTCGAAGAAGCACGGTTACTGTAGGGTAAGTAACCCTTCTTTTTTAAAGCTTTCAAAATGATGCTTTGTATATTTGTGCACCGTCAAATTTCACTGTGTACCCAGAGTCGATTAAACAATGCGCAGAGCCAGAAATTATCTGTAGCGGGTTTTTTCCGTCATGCATCCAGAGGTAATGGATGTGACGCTAAATAACATAGACGCTTGAACTTAAAAAGTCGCCATACCGTACGACACGGTGTTTTACACGTTCTAATGAATTCATGTACATTAGGAAGCAGAAGATTTTTAAGCCTCTAAAGCCACATCCACGATTACGTTTCCCTGTGTTTTTGCATGCTTATTTTTCATTCATTCGTTTTGTGTAAGATTGCATTTGTTTGCTTGAATTTTTGAGATTTCCTTTTGGCTATCTGGTCTACAGAAGCCGATGCCGTTTTAAGCCTATACATCCAAAATACATTAAAATACTGGCACGCAAAACCCTTGGCATGTATTTATCGTTTGGTTTGAGACATTCCTGAAAATACTGCTTGGAAAGCTCGTGAAGCTCAGGCTTGAAAAAATTCTGACTTCTGCAGATAGTAACTGGCAAATGATGATTTAAAAAGCAGCAGTGCGTATATATTTAGGTATCTGTATAGGATTTAAAATTACTGCGCTCTTTTCTTGTCATCTTCAAGACGTGGTATTCGCACAGCTTTGCGTCTTCTCGGTCTGTTGATTCAGAATCGTACGATAAAAGCTTTTACCGGTGGGGGAATCGCATCTGCCATCCCTCCTCCCATCTCACCACTGTGCTTGCCAAGGGCTCGGTGAGGGGACACAGCTGGCCTGGGCTAGACCCCGAAATTCCCATCGTGTTTTCCCGTAGTATCGGATTAAACGCTGCAGGGCAAGAAGTGCAGTAACGTTAAGCTAGATGCTCAGGAAATCTGGTTGCTGTCCAGTTGCTTATGTAGTTTAAATGAGGCTCTCTTAAATCTTCAGGGCAAAGATGATGTTTACGATCGTATGCTGCTAGACTACTTCTTTTCTTATCATCAGTTCATCCATCTACTATGTCGAGTTGCAATCAACTGTGAAAAGTTTACTGAAACTTTAGTTAAAATGAGTAAGTATGAAGGTTAAACAGCCTAAGGATTTTTTTTTTTCTGTGATAACTGTGAGTGCTTCTCCACCAAGTTTTATATTCAACATTTTTAAGAAAAAGCAGAGCTTGTGAAACTCGCTGCATTAATCATTCTGGACATTACTTTTACCCACAAAACTGTGTGACGTGTGCAGTGTAGTGCAGTTTTACCTTCGGGACTGTAGGCCTGTCCAGAAAGCAGCCGAGGCAACCGGTGAGAATTCAGTCTCCTTGCACATTTAGACTTTAATACAGGACTCACTGAAGCTTGGTTTTTTGGGGTGTTTTTGTGGGTTTTTTTGGTTTGGCACTTTGGCTTTGGATCAGATCCCGAATCCTCAGCATCTCTGCCATGGCGTTAATGGGCAGTCTGCCCAGGAGCGTACATGACCAGCCAGCCACGACGGCACTGGTTCTGTTGTTACCAGCCTGGCTTTATTTTACTCCATAGCTTAGGGAACCACCACAACATTTAATTACGTTTATAACCGTTCGGTCAGGTGGTTTGCACCCGATACTTGTTTCAGCTCTGCCAGTAGATACCACCAGTATTTGGGTTTCTTCTTGTCACAATGTAAACCTGGTTTTTTGGGGTTTTTTATCTGTCCGACTGCCCCAGCCGTTCCGCTGGCTCTCTGCAGGAGAGCATCCCGCCTTGAATTGCCCCACTAAGTCCATGTGCTGCTCCAAAGGGTCACCGTGGTGGGTTTGTGGGCTTGTTTGGTTTTTTTTTTTAATTCCGTCTCTCACCACGGACCCTAGGACAAGCCGAGTGACCCAGTGTGGTAGGTGCAGATGCACAAACCTCAGCGTCACACAAATAGTTGTTACATGGACACGCTGACTGGGAGCCGTCTCGCTGCGGTTGTCTAAAAATCAGAGGTATAGCCAGGCGTTCCTCTGTAGTCAGTGGAGAGACGTCAATTCCTTCCAAGCGAAACTGATCTCCCCATTCTGAAATACCTTAAGCAGAATGAACGCCACCTGAAAATACCCGCTTGTTTTCTTGTTTTCTCTGCCTGTAGAAGCTGGCTAGCTAGCTACGATTAAATACCGCTTCTAGACAAATAAAACCACACAAAACTAATCTTGTCCAAAGAGCAACGATAGCAGAATTCTTTTGATCCCCCAAATCACCCATTTGCTCGTTGTTTGTCACGCTCTTCTGACTGTAACTCTGGCGTGATTAGTACTTACTATAGGTTGTGTTAGTTACGCAATCCCAGTAGGTTTTATATCCTTTGCTGTTGTTCAGTGTATCCCTTAACTCTTTCATGGTCTGGGTAACAGTGCTGTGTGGGTTAATAATGAAGATTACCCGTTAAAAATTACACGCTGTTTTTAAAAAAAGAGAGTTAAAACCTGTAAGTGCTGTAGCTGACCAGTTGAAAATGGAAGAGAATTTATTACAATAAAATAATCTGATTACAAAGCCAGAACTGAAGCCAGCGCTTTAGGTTTGGTTTTACATTTCACAGAAATAGCGAAGGGATACGTCTATTTATTAAATGTACTATAAAAACTTCACAGACGTTGGGACTTTCCAATTATAAAAAGTGCTTAGAATGTGGTCTTATAAAATGATATGGCACCTTGGTACTACTGTTATCAGGAAGCGCGTATCTCCAACAAAATTCTCACACAGTAACACTTTCTCATAAAATTTCAGGTGTCCTAGTTGCATATGAAGGTTTGCCGCTTCATCTCGCGCTGTTCCCCAAGCTTTGGACTGAGCTTTGTCAGACTCAGGTAAGAGCCAGAGAGTTTGAGAACTAACGGAATGGGAATACAGCCAAAATCCAATGAATGTGAAAGAGAGATTAACGTAAATTGTAACTAGTGCGTATTGTTTAATCACTCAACATACTAGCATTTTGAACAGAAAATACCTCTGCTTATGTTGCCTGTCATCTGATAAAACCCATAAATCACACATAAAAATCTGGCCAGTCGTATTTGCTCCCAGTATGCCCTCGGTCCTGCAAAAACTTACACAGCAACTTCACGCGGTATGTAATATTGGCAGGATGGCAGCCTGAACGGTGTACAAAACCGACTTCATCCCACCTCTGAATTTCCAGCTTTTTACGTAGCGTAAATGCTGGTACGATGGAATAAAAATTGGGAGATCTCTCAGTGGGCTATCGCCGTGCGCCTGCTGCGAGGAGGGGCCTTTGCACCTCCGCAGGACCCTGCAGTTGGCTCACGGACTGGCAGACACCGGCCCTTCAGATACTCACTGATCGTGACAAACTGGCGCTCCTGTGGAATACGCTTTGTAAAAGGAAAATGGGAAATAATAATTGGCAATAATTAATTTGTACAATTTACTGATGCCTGATAGACCTGAAATGTTCTTATCAGTAAGAGTGGTCCAGTATGAATTAAGAACACCAGTGGGCCCGGCGTGGATGTCTGCAGCGCTACCGCAGCGCAGTGCGTCGGTGATGACTTTGCAGTGTTCTCTCTCTCTTCTCCAGTCCGCAATGTCAAAGAACTGCGTAAAGCTCCTCTGTGAAGATCCAGTTTTTGCAGAATATATAAAATGTATTCTGATGGATGAAAGGACCTTTCTGAACAACAACGTTGTATACACCTTTCTGACCCATTTTCTTCTAAAGGTGCGTGGTCTTTTAGCGATAATTTCCATTTCAAGAAATGTGGTCATAGATGCTATTTCAGTTTGGGGTACTGTTCTCACAGTTCCATTTTTTTGTGGGTTTTTTTTTTTTTTTTTTTTAAAACCTTACCTTCTTTTCACAGGTCCAAGGGCAGGTGTTTTCTGAAGCAAACTGTGCCAACTTAATCAATACTCTAATTACAAATCTAATAAATCAGTATCAAAGCTTAGAATCTGACTTCAGCAACCAGAGAGTTGAAATTTCCAAAGCAAGCTCTACTTTAAATGGGGTGAGTCTTTTCTAAGCCATTCAACTGTCGGCATCATTTAGGAGGCAGCTTTATTTTCCACGGAAAACCCTTCAGTGCCACATGCCAGGTTCTAATTAAAGCGGTGGGCATCGTTAGCTCTACTTTGTGCACGAGCTGGACTGCTGGTGAGAGCAGGGGAGGCTGCCTTAACTGGCTGGCTGGAGACGTTAACCCCTACCAACGAGACAGCCGTAAATTTACGGAGCAGCAATCCAAACTGTCCAGAATTCTCCGTTCCACCTCGGCGTGCAGAGCGTACATACTTGGGTCTCCCAAGCTGATGGTGGGGACCGCGAGGCTGGGCGGAGGGCAGCTTGGTGTGGAAAACAAGTAACGCAAAGTGCGGTAGAGTTACCGTAGAAATGTTCTAACGCAGCGAAAGATTCCCTCTTGCAGCGAGCGGCACGGTACTGTCCTCTGCTTGGGACAGATCCGTGTTAAGGTCAGCGTATCGGTAGCGAGTGGGAAATTTCAGTAGCGCAAGCATATTTAGAATGTGACCTTTCGGATGTACAGAACACATTGAAGCCTCTGCTTATTGCACAGATCTCGGGGGGGGTAATGAAGTAAGAGTGTGAAATAAGGCTAGTTACGTTTGCTTGCCTCTGTTTTTTTAGGACCTCCGAGCACTTGCCTTGCTGCTTTCGGTGCACACTCCCAAACAGCTCAATTCAGCCCTGATTCCAACTTTACAAGAGCTTTTAAACAAATGTAGAGCTTGTCAACAACAGAGGAACTCATTACAAGAGCAAGAAGCCAAAGAAAGAAAAACTAAAGGTTTGCTTTCTATGAGAGTGTCGCTCTAACAATTCTAAGGTTTTACAAACTTAAAGGAACGCATTGTTTTCTTACCACGGAAGGTGGGCCGTTTCTTGGCTCCAATCCCCAACGCTACGCAAGAAATAGCAGTTTATTATGGAGCTAAAATTCTAGGCGGTTACATGAATTTCCTGCGAGGAAATAAGTATTTATTGAAGTACCGTGTTTAACATGGAAAAGGATAAAAACACGAAAGGAAAGGCCTGTTAGTTGGATGTGTGGCACGAAAACAATGCGCTTCCCCTGAGCGAGTTTTCCTGTTTGTTGCAGACGACGAAGGAGCTACTCCTGTGAAGCGAAGACGGGTGAGCAGTGACGAGGAGCACACTGTAGATAGCTGTATCAGTGATACAAAAACTGAACCCCGGGAGGCGTTGACCCCAACGAGCACTTCGGATAACGAGACGCGGGACTCTTCGATCATTGATCCAGGCACTGAGCAAGATCCTCCTTCCCCCGAGAACAGTTCTGTCAAGGAGTACAGAATGGAAGTTCCATCTTCATTTTCAGAAGACATAATGTTAGCGACGCGGTCACAGCACACGGAAGAGCAGTCAGGGAACGGTAAATTTGAAGAATGCAAAGAATTTAAAGACCTGCAGACTTCCAAGGATTCCATCGGCGCCGAGGAGGACTCGGAGTTTCCTTCCACATCGATTTCGGCAGTTTTATCTGACCTCGCAGATTTGAGGAGCTGCGATGGTCAAGCCTTACCATCCCAGGACCCTGAAGCTAGTTTATCCATCGGCTGTGGCCATTCCAGAGGACTTTTTAGTCACATGCAGCAGCATGACATTTTAGACATCCTCTGTAGGACCATTGAGTCTACGATTCACGTGGTCACAAGGATATCTGGAAAAGGAAACCAAGCTGCTTCTTGACATTAGATGGAGCATGTCTGCTTTTAAGTCTTTTTTTTTTTTTTCCTTCCCCCCCCAAAAACCGCTGTTTGTATAAGTTTTGCTTATTTCTGTTTTGTGCTTCAGTTTGTCCAGTGCTCTCTGCTTGAATGGCAAGATAGATTTATATGCTTACTTCTTGGTCAGGCAGAACTCCAGATTTCTTTTCTTTCTTTCTTTTTTTTTTTTCTCCCTCCCCCCCCGCCCTTTTTTGCCTCTACCGTACACTTTCTTAAAGGGCAATCAGATAATGGATATGTTTTATGTAATTAAGAGTTCACTGTAGTGGCTTTCATTTAATATGGCTGTCTGGGAGAACAGGGCCTCGTTGCCCTGGATGATGTAATTTAAACTTATGGCATTTTTACTGTGTATAATATGGTGTCCTCTGTGCCAGTTTTGTACCTTATAATAGAGGCAGATTGCCTCAGATCGCTGTGGTTCTTATTATCAAAATTAAGTTTACTTGTATACTAAACAACCACAAGAAATTTGATTCTGTAAAGAATCCTCTTTAGCTGTGGCCTGGCAGTATATATATGGTGCTTTATTTAACAGAATACCTGTGGAGGAAATAAAGCACACTTGATGTAAAATTAATTGTTTTATTTTTATTGACATGATCAATTGCTATTCTGTGCACTTCATTAAACTGATTGTGATGACTTTTCATTTGTTTATAATATGTCGCTTCAGTCTTTGGATTTCTCAGCAAAGATGACTTCAAAAATGAAACGGCTGCAGAGAGAAACGATGATCAAATGTACATAATCGATGTCGGTCCTTTTCTGCTTTACTCTGTATGGATGCTCAGCCGCGCAGCGGGGTCGGAAGCCGGCGGAACTTGGCGTTTCCCTATTTTTAACCCGTGTTAGCCGTCCGTTTCTCCTGCGCCATTTGCAGACTGACTGCCTTTTTCCCTCCACCCGTGCTCCCCGGGGCCCGCCCCACCCGGCCGCGCTCCCTCGCTTTCTTGACGACTTCACCCCCCGCAACGCTGGAAGGACTTTATCACCTTTCCCGGTCACATTTCCTCCTGTTACTTCTGAGCAATATCCGTTTCCTATGTGATCTTTTGGACTGTCAATGATACTGGTTTTAATATCTGATTAAACTCCATTTTCAGCTTCATCTTCCAGTTGCTTAGCTCATTTGTTTTTCTGTTGTCTTCATAACATATCTCCCGTGGTCTTTTTTCTTCCAAATTCCATCGTTCTGCCCACCATTTAATGTCATTCCGCATCATTTGCTTCTCCACGGTTCTATTATGTGATGCTTTTGCGACTCCTCTTACTCTCTCTGAATCTACTCTCATTTTCTTTAACCTAAAGTCATTAATTAATCATTTCTGTCTTCAGACTTTACATTCCCCTTTATTAGCACTTCTATTCCTGCATTTACAGACACTACATTGATGCTGGTGAGCGCTTAAGTTGGTCTCCTTCTTATTCAAACATGAAATAATTGCGTTTTCGCTCTCTTTAGGAATAATTTTATTACCCTTTCTGATCAACTTCTCCATACACTGTAACTTCAGAGAAATCAGCAACAGCTTCTACTCAAAACAGAAGTAACCAGTATCAGAATTCATCAATCAAGTCTTCTACCAAGCCAATGGTTGGGGTGAGATGTCTTTAGGAAGATAACTGCCTATCCATCTAAAAATCTTCGAGAGGTGAAGCGGCCATTATAACCCTTTGGTGAGTAGTCTCAGTTAATTAATCACGCTTACTCAAAACCTGCATCTGATTTTTGGCATGTTGTCTGACTGCACCTTTCAACTATGGCACTTTGGCTTTGCCTTCTCATACAGGATGAGCTCACACCGTAATTCTGTTACTGAAGAGTGGGATTATGTCTTTTGTGATGGTTTTTTCTCATTATTTCGAACCCCCTTTTTGAAATGTATACCAAGTATAAAACAGTATTTAGTAACGATTTCGTAAATGATACACAAGTCAGTCATACACCTTTCTTCCTCTCCTGTTAGCCCTCCTGTGTTCAGCTGGTCACCGACTACTGACTAGGCCCTTTAAGTAATTTTTAGGATGTTTTCCCCCACAGAGCTGTAGATAGCATTTGCAAATGCTGTTGGTGGCAATTTTGTACTTTATTGTCAGTTATTTTCTCACAAATAGGTAACTGGCCTTTTAGAATCCCACCAGAAGTCCATTTATTTGACAACCATTTTCCATTACCAAAGACGTTACAGTTGCGCGTTAACGTTTCAGCGATGCGCTGTGTTGGGATTTGGTGGCTCTCTAAGCAAAGTATTTTAGGTAGTAAGACATGCACCGTATGTGTAAGCTGTGTTAGGCCAGCAGTTCCCTTTGCAACCCCTTTGAAAAGCTACATCAAATTTGACAAGGTAATATTAAACATGTTGATTAGCTCTAATTGAATGATTATCCTGTAGTTCTGAATTGACTGAATTTAATAGCTTTTCTATTATTTTGCTCAAAAGCTGTGTCGAGATTACCAGAAGTCTCATTCTTACTATTCTTCCCTTACATTACCTTCCCGTTTCCCCCTTAAGCTGAGTATTCCTGCAGTTTTTATTGGGAATTCTTTCCCAGTATTCAGGTTTTAGAACAAAGGTAAGCAGTACCTGCACAAACTTGTCTCCTCTTCTATATCCGTGTTTGGACCCGTTTCTTTTCTATTCCTGTGTGTCCCTCGTTCCAGATGTTCTGCAGGTCATGATTTCTTCCACAGTATTCCCCTTCTTTTTACTTTGAATCCGTTTTCTAGTTTCTATTTCTTTGCCTTCAAGAATGCTTTTTTTTAATCCCTGTCTTTGAAAACCCCATCTTTACCTGGCTTCCTCTCTCCCGTGGCTCATCCCACCTCTCATTTAATGGCTAGGTATTTCCTCCCAGCAGTCCCACCTCCCATCTAAGCCCTTCAAAATCAAGCTTTTAAAATACCTTCTCCTTCCACTGCCCTCCCTGTGCCTAGTCCCTAGCACCCAGCCTCTACCTCCTGGACTCAAACTGCTAGGACCGTCCTCCGTACTGATTTTTGGCTACAGTCCTACCAACCTTGTCTTGCACATTTAATCGTTTTACCCTTTGGCTTTCTCGGAGACCAGGTGGTTGCACACAGTCTCACTGCGCTACGGAAGTGCTCCGTCACAAGCAAAACTCCCTCTGCTTCCTCTCTCCTTTCATACTGCTCGCTCTCCCTGGAATGCCTTCTGTGCGCCTTAGTCTCCTTAAAACACGTGGATTCCGATACATTTGAGCGTATTTCCCACAAACTCTCTGCATGTGTCTCCGCTCCTGCTGTGTCTTCTGTTATACTGGGAAAATTTTAGGATAGGGAACTCTTCACAGAGACTTATTTAGAAAACAAACTGTATTTATGATACTGTCATTTCTTTATGGGTGATACTATGTCATTACCATTATCCTGTTACTAAATGATGCGCAATTCCTAACTCTGCTCCATCCAGCTCAAGGGCAGAGGATAACATGTAGTTGAACATTCTCAGGTGTTATTAAACTCTTGGAGAGTCTATAAGGAATATGAGACATTTTGGCACTCAGGAATAAATTGTTTTGCCTTTCTAAGTGACAATTGCCCCCTTTATGCTGTGGCTGGCTGACAGTGCTAGAAATTCTCCTGAAGGCTGCCTGCTGCAGGTAAAGTGAACTGCTCTTTTTTTTTTTTTCCTCAGCTGCAAAATAACTGTGTGCAAAAATTGAACAATGCTAATGTCAGCTAAGCGCCAGCACAGACAGTGAAGACGGGAAGAGTGTGGGAGTGCTGGTGAAGCAAAAACATCCTTTTTTTTGACTGCACGGGCAGTCAATCGGGGACTGTTCGTGTGCATGAAAACTGCCAGCCCATTTCTGCCGCTAGGCTGGCCTACAAGCAGGATGAAAAGGTAGGCGCTTCACGTTTTAACTGAGGAAAGCGTGTACATGTTAGCAAACTTACAGCTGCGCAGGCGGGAGGGAGCAAGAAGCACGCTGAAGACGACCGGCCATCTTCAGTTCGCTGCCCTTTCCTTCAAGAGGAAACGAGGGCTGCCTGCGGCTGCTCCTCCTCGCAGTCTCGGACCTCCCAGCGGCAGCAGCAGTTTTCTGGGGGTGTGGGCTGTCCCACACCTGGAAGTGAGTGGCGCAGCGCTGGGAAACACAAGTAAGTCACTTCTTTTTTTTTTTTTTTAACACTGATGATTGGCAACTGGTCCAGTTGGTTACTCCTGCTAGTGGAAGGAGACAAGAAGACGCAGACTAGCAAAGTACAGAAGGTACGGGCACTTGTGACCCTCAGACGGAAAGGGTGTTTCGGTCAGGAGGGAAAAGTGGTGAGGGAGGATACACTGTCTGAAGAAACTTGTAATTGGATGTAAGGAACAGCCTACTCTCAGACCCTAAATGTCACAAAATCCCTTGGATCGCCTACACACAAACCTGCTTAGCCTGATCTCAGTTTTAAGCCTAGATTTTCTGTTTTTATTTAAAGGCTGCCCCAGCGCCAACCAATATTCTAAATCATTTTTGTATTCAAAAGGTTAGGCTCTTTGTCAAAAAAGGTAACTAAATTTTGAACATTGAGAAAAAGAAAGATGCTAACACACGCCATTTCTCAAGGGGCTGTTCTCCACCCTCTACCTGGACACCTGAAACACAAGCAGTGCAGCACTCGGTGGCCGGTCTGCACGTCTCTCCCGTCACTGTGAGGTGTTTGTTCTTGTTACTACAACAAACCTCACCTAAGTTCAAAGGGGATCACTGACTGCAAGCTTGTCAGGGAAAACCTCGCCTGTAGGAAAGAGCAGCACATCTTTATCTTCTGCATGATGTTAAGTTTATGTGTGGCAAGGTTGCCGTATGTTGGTGTCCTGTAAAAATAAAATATATAGGACTTAACTCCTACGCAAATGCATTTACTGTGGCAGTATCAGTAAACGGAGGAAATAAACTGCGTGTAAAACCACATAGTTTATTGAGCCAACCACGTTTTCCAAAGGCACTTTGCCCTTTTTTGGTCCATTTGTTTCAAATTACATACTTAATACACTTTTTATAAAGCATTGGAGAATTAAGTTATCCTTGCTAACCTCAGTGTGGTTTAATTAAGAGTACAATTCTTTACTTTCAATGTCCCAACTGCTCTCCTGTCCAATTTCTCTAACACAGTTGCTCACTTTTTAATTGGAGCTACAGAATTGCAGAGGGCAACAAGATTTACGTGCTACAGAATCGCAAAAGGAATGCGTTAACACTGTTTGTTTCGTCCAAAATAAGTTCCACACTGAGGTCACTAAGGGAGTCCAGTGCATGCAGACTTAACAGCGATAACAGTCATACCAACCCCAATTACATGACATTGTTTATTATCTCTCCCTAAAACTGTCTATGGGGGTTAGAAACAAATTCAGCCTGTGGTTAAAGCAGTCTCAAGAAGTACGTAAGGAGGCTGCGAACTATACCCCCCCAGAATATCTTGAAAGATCTCACGTAATCAGCAGTTTTATAACCCCTTTTTGGTTCACCTCTGATGGGCACCCCGTCTCCTAGAGAGATTTAGTTTTGCCACCTGACACGCTAAATATTACAGAACTGGAAATGCTTTCTACTGATTCATGAGGCTTACCTGCCTACGATGGTAGTGCTTTACTGCAGCTGAATCATAATTAGCTCTCAGAAATTGCAGGCAAGCGGAACAGAGCTCTGTTTCCCCAAGTAAAGCTGTATATACATAGTCTGATTGACTCGCCACCTCATTCACTGAAAATCCATAAATAATACTTAAATTACAGTCTTGGAGAAGTGGGTCTTTATTCTTCCCACAAATAAGTTACTTTTTAAAAAAACAAACGTTAACCAAGTATAAAAAGTAATGCCCTAACAAAACTAGTGCTGTTATCATTCCATGTTGTCTCGGGATTGCTGCAGTAAAATACGTATTTCTTCAAAATACTGCTTCTTCCAACATTGTCTTGTGCTATCTTCACTAGAGACAGGAACGCCTTTGCACTCTAACTGCAGTTCCGTTTGAGCAGCCAGATCCTTGAAATTCAAGGCCACCGTTGCGTAATGCTCTGAAGGAGGAAAATAGAACATTTCAAGAAAGTGCTTTTTAAAGGGTTACATTTGTTGTTGCTAATTTCGTATCTGCTTTTGCCTAAGGGAAGCCTGTTTTCACAGATGACGACCGCTACGGCCATCAGGCTGCTCTCCAAAGAACACAGACTAAGCGAGCTTCCAGTTAGCAAAGCTGTCAGGTTTGTTCCTTCTGCCTGCCAAGTGCAGCTCAGTCGGAGGTCCCCAAAAGACTCACCATCAGGCCAGTTTCTGCACCTCCACTTCAGGACAATTCTTTGGCTGGGGACCTGTAAGAAGATACAAAGGTTCTCCCCGTTAGCATTTGAGATAATTCACATTATGACTACTTAATGCTAATTCTCCCCTGAGAAATAAGGAGAGGAGCATTATCCTATGTAATAGTATGAAACAAGCGTGTAAACAACACAAAGATTGGGTTTGGTTGGCTTGGGGTTTTTTGGGTTTTTTTTAAATAAACTGTTTTCATCAAGCTCTCTGCTTGCCACATTCCTCTGTTTTGTCTATGGGAAAAGGTCAGGCTGGGTAGTTACTAAATGTAAAACATCGGTTTTCTTGCAGACCTCGAAATGGGCACAAGTAAGAGTCATGTTTCCCCCTCCGAAATTTCCAAGCATGGCACAGAGTATGGCTGTGATTTTCTGTTAAGCAGTGCAGCCTGCCACCGGCTCAGGGGAGAAGAGGAGGTACTGCTTCAGCACATGCGTTAAGTCACAGACTCACAGAAGTCAGCTGAAGTTTTCTCTCAATCAGGCTTAGGGCTTTCACTAAGTCATTTAGTTTGTATTTTGACTGTTTGATCTAAATAGTTCCTTGTCTAATTGCATTGACTTCCCTCAGCTTCAATAATGGGACACTATCACTGAAGTCAATCTCGGGTGTCACAGTTCTGCAGTGTGGATGTTTCCAAGCTGAGCCCTTTCTGGAGCGAACAAACATTTCATTAGCTTGAACTGAGAAGCCAATTTTCCAAGGCTTTGCTTTTTTAAAAGTCATCCAGTTGCCAGTGACACTTATTGCCTGTCATCTGGATGGACATTAAGATACCAAGTCTAAGCTTAGCAACTGTGAAAATGATTTTTCAGAGGTTTCAAACATGGACCTGAGCTCTAATTATCAATTTTTCCCATCTATTTGCAAAAGCATTCAGTTAGGGGGAGTGTAACATTTGCCCTGAACACAAGAGAGATAATTTCTCCAGTTACAAAAAGAAGTGATACGGATTTGGGAGATAAACCTGCTTTCTCACTCCTCCTAGTAAAAAAAGGATGGTGTGGGAGTTTTGTCCCCCAGTGCAGGTCATTAGGTGTAGTCAGTGCCTGCTCTTCTGATGGGGAAGAAAAAAAATCACAAAACATAATTGCAATTTTTTGGCTTTGTAGTAGAGGAAGTGAACATGCATTAGGGAAGTTGAAACGTCAGAAACTTGTGCTACTTTTTAGCTCAGAGGAGAAGCTGACCCACCACCACCCATTTTTAAAGAGCAAAGTAGGAGCTTTTTACCAATTCTGTGTATTCACCGCTGACACAACCATCAAACATCTGAAGTTTGCCTCCTTTCTCAGCTTCAATCACAGCAGGACATCTAGAAAACTTCTGTACCAACTAGGAAAGAAAGAATACAGCACACGTCAGTTCACTGCAAACCTATACCGATACATACTGCGCCATATTGTGAGACAGGGGAGGTTTGCTAAAGAAATGAGATGAAAAAAGTTACCTAAACTGTAATACACATAAGAATCTTTAAGCATTCCCCATTTATGCAGCACGCCACCAAGAGCTGTGGTACCAGCAGAAGCCCGTGAGGTGCAGAATGAGAATGTAAATGCCGAGACACCTGTGGCAGTAAACCCAAAGACACTAGCCATAGGCAAGGGGCGTGGACAAAGCACGTGTGTACGCACGGACATGCAGACCTGGCCAATACTACATGGGAAAGGAGGAGAGCAGCAGCTCTAGGAAGGTGCAAAAGAGCTGCTGAGAGCCATTACTGCATCCCAGGGGTAGTGCTGGGATTCTTATTTATGGTGTCTGATACCAGCCCAGGCTCTTCTGAAGGACACAAACCCAAAATTTGTAATGGTATTATTTAATACCCTATCATTGCGTCCAACAGTTCATCTAATTAACCTGTAAGCTGTGGGTAACCACAGTGCCATTACTGAGCACTTCAGGCTCCCGAACAAGTACTTACATTAAAAAAAAAAAACACAAAAAACCCCCCCACGCTAAGCTTTTTCCAACTAGCAAAGGCGAGTGTGATTGAGCTGCAAAAGATACAACTTCAATTTGTTTAGTTGGCTTTTCTTCCTATTAAGGTAACAACTGGCAAAAAAAGGGTCTGCGCCACCCTAATAAACTCTCATTAAAAAGGTGGTAAAAGTGGACTGATCCTACTGCCATGTGTAGTGCTTGCTGATTCCTACTACCAAGAACTTGACAGCTCGTCAACGAGGTCAGCTACCTCGCCTTTGGCCCTTGGTAGGAGCCCAGACTGACACACTGCCCCAGCAACTGTCAACTCCTCTTGCATTGTCACCACTGAAACTCCTCAGTGGCTTAAAAGGTGAAGCTCTTCAGCAAAAGTTGAAGAGTAAATGATGTCAATCATCAGACTTACAAATACTTAGTTACAAGAAAAGGGTAGCTCATGAAGCCATCAGGTTCTGAACAATCACAGCTCTCCATTTAATGTGCGTAAGGAGTATTAGCTGCACTTGACACTACACAACTGTTCAGCTAAAACAGCACCTGCATTAAGTTGTAGTGCATACTCAAAGTATCACTTACTTCCTTAGTTGTGAAGATGCTGTAAAGTTTGTCTGCTGGAGAGTTGAATATTTCTCTCATAAGTATCTTCACTGTTGGAATTTTTACACCAACTATATCCAAAGGCTGTGGCAAAACAGAATCCTGTAAAGCAAATGATATGCACAGGAGTGATTGCAAGATCAAACCCTTAAAAGCTCTTGAACGGCAGGATTGTTGTTACCTGTGCATTCTTAAACGTACTGTGTGGTGAATGTACATTAATTATACAATCTACTTCCATATTTATTTGATGGTATTATTAATCGGTATTCACTAAATAAATAACAAAATTACGAGCCTGTGATTAGCTCCAGAGACAGCTGAAGCTAACTTTAGACTGCAGGAAGCGATCCATGCAGGTGAATTCCAGCTTCACCTTGCTGAAGCTATGGCCGCCACAGAACGCAGCATTAAAGAGCAGCTACATGCTGCTGTCCTCTTCCCCGCCTGGCAGAGCCGTGCCCAGGATCCGCGACAGACCGTTTCTGGATCACACGCCCCCATCCCAGCACTGAGGAGGCAGTTCCACCACAAAGGCTTTCACTTTTGCAGGTGATCACAGGAACACGCAATTCTTACCATAGCAGATTCTATAGGGACTGCATTTATGGTCATATTAAATTTGTACAACACTTAAAGCCGACATACTTGCACGGTGTTCCCACTTAGTTTTCGCTCAGCGGCCAGCTCCTGACCAGCAGCAGCTTTTGTTGGCAGAATCATTCCCAAGGTAAACTCTGTAATAAAGAAAAGCACTCTTCAGCATGAAACTGAGCTGACATTTACACACACAGTGAAGATTGCTGGCCAAAACTGTGAAGAATGGGATATACAACTCCAATCCGGAGTTTCCCCACGTTGCCCACATGTTTTTTATTAGGAACACAGCCTAACAGCGATTTCCCATAAAAACACAGGCTTTTCACAGTTACCGAACCGCAAATTAATAAGCTCTGCGCATTAAGGACTGCACCATCTCCCAAGAACTGCTGAAGAGTACAGCAGAGAAATGGCAAGCCGAGGGCAGGGCGCTGCTTTGCTAGCCGGCCAGCCAGCCTGCAGGCCTTGCAGCGAGCTCTGCAGTCACTACATGCAACACAAGACAGCCTGGGCCGCTACAGAAACTTCTGGATGCTGCCACATTTGACAGCAATAAAGATTGTGCCTGGTAGGGCTAACTTATCTCAGCTGGTGCAGTTAAAAACAAAAAAACCCACAAACCCAAGGACTTGTCAATGTATTACCAACCTATTCAAGAAAGAAAACTGCATAAGAACATACCTAACCAACCGGGTTAACTGACCTGTTTTAAGTGCTTTCAGGTAATCTCTCAGGGCCTCTCTGACTTTTGTGGTTCCTTCAGTTCTCATGAGGTCCTTCAGAACATCGCCTTCACCTTTCTTTTTGCTAATGTTTATCTAGAAACAGAAAAAATTACAAGATCTAAGAGGCATCTAAACATGAACCTTTTGGGTTCTGGCAACAAAGGAAAGTATTTTGGCTTTGTTTACTATATTCAGAGGACAACTGCAATTTCAAGTTATCCTCTCAGTTTATCCCACCTTTGCTAAAAATAGGTCCTCTTGGGTTTTGACTTAAATAAAGGTAGTATCTCATCTCCACAGTAGCTTAGTAACTTCATCAAGTATAAAGCGAGTTGCCTACTATACACAGAGGTTGAGGAATCTGTGGAAGCCACAGTATCAACTGCTATACAACCAACAAGGAGATTCCTTAAGTTCTTAGGGACTTTGGGGGGGGGACGGGACGGGGTGGGGAGTGTTGGGTTTTTTTTAAGACTAAAACAAGCAGAGTTCTTCTCAAATTTGTAGTTAGTATATGGTCACAAACAGTAATTGGCAAAGAAAACTGTGCACATTCCTAGTAGGTAAGTTTGAGAACAGAGATAAGTCATTATTCCAAGTATAAAAAAAAATGAAAACATGAAATAAACTATGCAAGTGTAATTATCCCCCTTAATCACAGGATAAATCAAAATATGATGCCTATACGTTGATTAATGCTTTATTTAAGAATTCTGAACCTAGATAGCCGTATCAGTATTTCACACCTACCTCTGTATCATCTACCTCATTTTCTTCTGACAGGTTAGGAATTTCAACAGATCCCTTATGTTTCTCACCAGACTCTTTCACTGTACCTGTATTAACATAACGAATTCTTAAATGCATTATTAAAAACTATTTCCCCCATAGCAAGAGATTTATCTTGCAAATCAGTCGCACAAAAGTGTTACTTGAAGCAAGTTGCCTAGAATCTAATTTAAAGGAACTAAACAGCAACCGAAAGTCTCGAACGTGTCACAGTACTTTCATAGTAAACTCTTCTCAGAACTGCACCTTCCTGTGTAGATGCATTAAGATACGTACGTGCGCAGAGGTACGTCTCACTAAGCACAGCTTGCGCTACCCTTCTGCCACCGCGCTCACCTTCGATTGCCAGCTGCCCTGATGCTCTCCACTTACGCAACAACTTTTATCTGCCAACACAGAATTATGAGTCTAAAAGGGGGTAGGGGAAAAACAACCTCCTTTTCCCCTAAATTTGTCTGCCCTTTATTTAGAAGATCCCTAGAATGCTAGCTATTCCTTCCTGACTATCTGAAAAGCTCCCAACGTACAGGCATGTCACCATAAAATGTATGTATGTATAATGGACAGGTATACAAATTGAATTTTTTAAAAATATGAAAACTTCACTTGCAAACTTTTTAGAACAAGTCTTCCTACTCTTAGTAGCTTTACCACGAACTGCCAGTAATCACTGTACATGTCAGAAAGACTTTGCAAGACCAGAAATTACGCTATCTTTCTGGGCAAAGGCCCGCCATCACTTACCTAACACAAGCTCTATAAACACATTCTGGGATATGAACCCTGGACTGTACTTCTTTATGTCAGGCTTTACTGTGAAAGATTGTATTTAAGGGCTGACGCCTTTTTTTTCCTTCCACTGAAGACTCTTCCCCCTTGGCTTGCAAAAGCATTGTTATTTAAATTTATTCACTACTTAGATCACGTTAAAATCTCTTTAGCAAGCAAGAGCAGAAACATGCAGTTCTGCCCCAAACCCAGTTCTCTTCATACCGTTACATCAGCTTAGTTGTCAAAACATATGCGACACAACAACAGGCTTTATCAGTCTATCAGCAATACTCTAAAATACAAACAACCCAGTGTTCAGCATGACTGCAGAAGGGGAATTACCATGAAGGTAGATGTAATACTTCTTTGGATTCTCTCGCCTTCAAAGGAGATAGATAGATCCAGCAACTACTTAACATCACTCTCCTTTCACTATTTTTAATTACTACCCTGAAACGACCACCATGCCATAGGAGGCACTGTGCACAGATATAACTTAACATGCTACCAGTCAAGATCACAGCGAAGTACAAAAACACACGCTCCGAGGTTTCTTCGCAAGAAAGAGAGCAAACGATGGTTAGTAACACAAAGTGGAGAACGGTGCAAAGATCCCTTCCTAGTCAGGAGCTCAGTCAGTGAAGCGCAGGGCAACCTGCAGAGTCTGTTAGTCCAGAAGCAGACAACCATGTCCACACAGCGAAAGGCTAAACCAGAAGACCTCTCGAGCTTCTCAAAGTCTCCCACGAGAACCTGTTCGCTCAAGTACAAAGCCACGTGAACTAGTTAATTACACTGCTAAAACACTTCTGGGCCCAAGGCAGATCACATGCAGCCATCTCGATTTTCTCTTTACTGCTTGCTTCCAGCTCCAAGATTAGTACAGGCAAAACCACGCAACACGGTCTTTGCAGGTAGTAAAGCATCTTATTTTCAGCTACTCTCCCCACAAAGGAAGTGCAAGCATGCAGGAAGTTTTTAGGAACAAAAAACAAACCTGACTTCTATCCATTCAGCTGATTTTATTAACAGTTTTCACAACTCCTAAAATAAAGATACCCAAGGACAAATTTAAATTCATAAAAACAGTAAATAGGCAATTTTTTTCCCCCTTCAAAAAACTGCTCGTCCAAGGGATTAATGCAGATGGTATCTGCACTGGACAGCAAGTCCAATCAGTTAACAGAGCTGGTTGTTAACATTACACGGGCAGAACATTGGTACAACTTTGTACTTTTAGTATCACTGTAATATAAGCAAAACTATTACCTTTTTAGCAAACAAACAATCGTATCATGTGTTTGAATCCCAGGGGACTCCAAAAACAGACCTCAGAATAAACCATTTTTTTTGTTTCATGCCAATGCACTATTTTAGATAATTAGTAAGTGAAAGCACATGTCTCAAAGACCTATGTATAAACCCACATATAAACCCACTGTTGAAATACCTAAGTTTTAAAAGGAGATACATGCTTTCATAAAGCTTCCATCACAAGGTAGAATAATCCATTAAAATCCTCCTTACATCTTCAAACACGTGAAAGAGAAAACAGCTGTTTTGCTCAATTTTAGTGCCATTAAGTACCCTTAGTTCCTCACCTCCTTGCTCTGTAATCTAAATTGCTAAGGGCAGTGTTTTTCCAACACTGGACTTTCCAAACCGGCTGTGAATTTCAGGATTTATATCACCTTGTCCTTATGTATCCACTTTTTAATCACAGCTTGAACTCCTAGTTATCCTAGACAACTTGTAGAAGGAACTAATGACAGCAATTAGTGTTTTTAGCAGTTCAGTCTGAACTCTCATTTCTAATTCAGAGCTCTCAGAAAACACACAACATGATGGCTATCAAATAAGGGGAAAAAGAATCATCAGCCCCTGCTCTTTTAGAATCTCACTGTGTAGTAGCAAACTCCTTTAAAACTCAGCTCTCAAAGACATTATCCACTCAGTGCAACACTGAACCGAGCAAAGTACCTAATGCAAATCAGAGCTATCTATAGTAAAACACTGAAAAGCATAAAGACCTAACAGAGCAAAAAGAATCTGGAAAGAATTTATGTAGAAATACAAACAAAATACTGTGTCTGCCTACTTCTAAGCATTATACGCTGAAATAAATCAAAAAACCCAACAAAAACAAACTAACCAGTGTTTAAAACTGAGATGATTTTAGCTTATCCAAAAGAAGACCCAAAACATTAAAAAGCTGATTACAGTTATTTAAACTGTACTGATATAAACTGCACGACAAAGTATTAGAATTATTTAAACTGTACTGATAAAAACTACATGACAAAGTACATTTGCCTTCCTCTCTGTTAACATTTAGATCACAATTTTAAGTCTCTTCTTGGTTTATAACAGACTTGTAACATTTAAAACATAGCTAACTATCAACGCAAACCACAATACATCCATAACAGTACTTCTTTGAGTCCCCTAATATTGTGGGAGCAGACCTCTGTTCCAAATCTGTTCAAACACAAGCACTGATCTCCGCATGGAAGTAAACGTTAAAGTCCCGGTCAGCCACAGCAGGACGAACGCCGCCATGACGAACAGCGTTGGAAAGGGCAGCAGGAAAAGAAGTGCAGAACGCAGGCAGCCCGCTGGAGCAGCCCACAGCATTACCTGAAACACTGGTCCAGAGACTACAGCCCTGTTGTGGGGCGCAGGAATTAAGAGGGGAAAATGAAGTGTGGCCCTTGGTATTCCCCCCTCCTATAGCAACAACTGGGGCCTGAGAAACAAGTCCAGTATTTGGGGGAGGAACAACCTGTCATCTGGCATTACAATATCCGCGTGCAACTGCCTACACAGGCGCTTTTTATCAGCTCTTCCTGCTTCTTACTGCAATGCCAGAGAGGGTCCACATTTGCCATCAAGTTTTAGGCATCTAATAAATGGAAAGAATTCTTTGATGTTACCGAAAGATATGTTATCAGGTCGGTCTGCAAATAAAGAGCTGCGGCGGGACAAGCACAGCAGAGGATGAACCTCCAGGAGTTGGGGTTGCGAGTGGATGCAGCACAACAAGAACGCACAGCCTCCGTTATCCCAACTAATCCAGAATTATTTCTAGCTTCCTTATTCCCACTAAACAGTTCTTCCCTCATGTAATTCATTATCCTCAATGTAAACTACACTGAATTTTTTGAAACATCTGCACTTTCACACTTCTTAGTTGCTCCCATTTCCTGCTATCAACACGCGTTACGCACACAGCTGTAATTCGCGCATGCTAGGAAACTAGAACGATTCAAGCACGCCGTTCTAAGCAATGCGTATCTCACCACAGCAGAAATATTTACTTCTTGCAAAGCAAAATGGGTAACACCGTGCTGATATGCTGTTAAAACAACGCTAAGAAACGTGTGCGGTACAAGAAAAAATGGATGAACGGGGGAAAAAGTCAAGGTGTGCGGTACAAGAAAAAAATGGGTGAACGGGGAAAAAAGTCAAGCTAGGGTTTCAAGATTATTTGAACATAAGCACTTATTACAGTTCAGGCCCACGTGTCTCCTGCAATCTGTGCCCACAATTCTCATTCACTGTAGTTGGCTAAAATAGTCGCGTTTTTGCAACTCAAAGCAGAGTTTACTCTCCAAAACGATCACTCCTGGTCCCCCCGAGCAAATTAGCAGAGCCAGCTCTGCAAAGACCACGATAAACTCGAAGGCAACCCCTACCAACGCACATCTGCCCACGAAACCTGCGGCCACGGGTGGAAACACGCTGGGCCCGCGGTCACCGCGCTTCCTTTCACCCGGGAAAGGCTAAGCGAGCCCGG